CACTATCTGTGGCTCCGGTCTCAGTTCCTTTGGCATCAGATATGATCTATATCAGTGTCACCCCCAAATTGCTGGAAAGCTCCTCTGGTAGCCTTCAGCCGTGAGCTGAATGTAAATGTGCATTTGACACCTCTAAATCGCTGTCATAATTCATTTCCAGAGCTCTTAAATCTCTCCCTGTCACCTGGCACCTCTGCTGTTTTCCTGTCCAAAAACAGAGCACATTAGCCTTTATTGATGCCTTTGTCCTTTGATACATAATTCATCATTCAGCAACCTTTTTTTTGGAATTATCATGTATTATTTTGAGTTTGTTCAAACATATGGATTGATACAAACAAAGAGGTTGCACCTGGTGTGAAGTTCAGTCTCATGCTATATGACAGGAGCAGGATAAGTCTTTTTGTTGTTAGACCAGACTGATCGAGAGCTTCACCTTTGCATATGTCCTAAGTTGACTGACCACATGCAGTTGTGCCGCTTGAATCTATCAGCGTGTCCCGTAAAAATCACGTTCTCCAGATGTCATGAAATTCTCACTCCTCAATCATTTGCCGTATGGCTTGCAGCATAAGCAGAGGTCAGAGGTCTAATGTGCTGAGGTTTATGCAGTGTTACAGGGTTTATCTGGAGTCATCCGACGTATGCCACTCAGCTTCAGTACTTTCAAACGGAGTCATATTTTACACCACAAACAACCTTACACAGTATATACTCAATATGTCATTCATTGGGATGTGTCGGTGCACCCATTATATTATTGTATAAAAGTTTCAGTGTTTTCTTGAAATGCAACTAAATAACTTATGTCTATTACCTTAAATGGTCACAATATAAGAAACTAATTAAATGACTGATTCTAAGAAATTATAAGGAACTGAAGCAATAGTATGTCTAAAACTACTCATTCCACTCAGACAAAAGAGAAGCTTAAACTGACATACTGCTACTGTTACATCTACTAATACTGCTACTATTACTGCTGCTACTGCTACTGTCAACACTCTTACTGTTAAGGCAGCACTGTTTAGTCTAGCATTATCACACCCTGAAATATGGGAAATGATTGGTCTTACATTCAGTATGTAAGATTTATGCAAAATGACCGAAGCTACTTTTGAGACAATTTTTTTATGTTTATATAATATTCCATTGGGTAACATTTAAGAGAAGCTATTGGCAGAAACGAACGGAGTATAGTATTCATAGTTATGTTTTCATTAATATATAATCACCTAAATATAGGAATCATGTTTTTTACGCTACCTTCGAATGAGCCATTTTTACCGATAGAGGGAGTGGAGTAAGATACAAAAAGAATAGAGCATTATTACATGTTTATTTAAAGCATATACAATTGTATCTAGTACCTGCTGAATCAAATTGTGATTTACAGAATGGGATCCAAAAAAGAAAGGTCACTTGTATCTATTACCACCACCTTCTGAATTGTGAATAAAAGTGAAATTGTTGGAAGGCCAACAATTCACACACCTAATATACTCCTGTCAGCCCCTTTTTTTAGAAGGAGGTTATTTGGTTCAGATGTGTTTGCTACAGGTTTAGTTAAAGAGCTGCCCAGTCTCCCCCCACCCCCTTGACTGTCTTCCAGCAGCCTTCGCTTTTTAAGTGGTCATGGACTGTTCCAGTGCATATACCACACTGAAATAGACTTTTGCTCTTTTCTTCATTGTCACAAAAGGCCAGGCACTTCACTGGAGTTCCCATTCCCCTTTTACATAGTGATAAGACAGCCATTATCCTTTGAACCTTTCTTTTCACTGAGCCAGGAGAAAAGGAAGAGTGAAAGAGAAGGAGGAGGAGGACAGAGAAAGATTTCTTCCCTGAGGTGAGCCTGGCCTCACCTCTGTGTGGCGGGCTTTTTTGTGAGCAGTGAAGAGGTCCTTAACCTTCTATCAGATGGAGGCACACAGTTGTGTTCTGCTTGAATAACTACATTGAAAAGCCCTGAAGCACGGGAGATGGTTCTATAGACTCTGCAAGTGGCAGAGAGAGAGAGAGAGACTGAGACTGAGAGTGAGAGAGAGAGAGAGAGAGAGAGAGAGAGAGAGAGAGAGACTGTATTGTATGACCTGCTGGAGTGTGACTCTCACATGATGTGCACATTCTTTGTTAAAGTGCCCATCAGTGCATCACCGTGAATCTGTGTTCTTTGTTGTATGGGTCTCGCTGACAGGATGGTCCTCCTCTAATAATGTCACAACAACACAGTTCCCACATTTATATAATACACTTCCTTTAATAGACCTCACTTCATTTTACAAAGTAACAGTCGTTCTGCTCTCAGGCTGTAAATGGCTTTACAGCAGCAATACCATCAATATCAGAGGACAGATATTTGAATGTCATGTTGCATGAACGGCTCGTGGTGGTTGATGGCTGATGATACCGTCGGCTGTTTTTATCATTCAAGCCAGTCAGATATCATGTGGATTTAATGTGCTCACTTGTTTACCTTGATAGCAGCAACAAATTAAGTGATTATAGGTAGCTACCTAACAAAACAAACTAATTACATGCTAGTACAGAAGTCATAAATAGTGTTGTGTCCATTATTTTTGCAGGTGCTCGTGGGTATCATTTTACATTTCCATGAGTTTCGTCTCACCAGCGAGTCACAGACACTTTAAACAAAATCGTTGCTTATCAATCTCTGTCATAACAGTTGTGTTTGAAGGAGGCGCCTCCTCCGGTATTCTCCCCGGGTCATTTTGTCTACATTTCTACTGATGCATGCATTAGCGACTCTTTTGGCTGTTTCAGTATTACTGATATTAGATGATGAGGTCAAATGCTATAAATTTCTGTCTGCCGTGTAAATGATCACAGGCTGTCAGGCGAGCTTGTCAAATTAAACGTCAGTTGGTAAACATGCCATTCAATCTTTGCTCTGCAGTGGAGCTTCCACACTGTCAGATGTGGGGACATTATAAACTGTTTCTGGTGTTCTGAGCAGAATTCCAGCGAAAAACAGATCAATAAATAACAATGAATCAAAGTTTTCTGGCTTGATTTCTAAAACAGTGTAATCATCTGGCCAAACACTTAATACGATAGTAAAGTTACTGTACTGCAGGAAAAACAAACAAAAAGTAACTCTGTGTTCTTCAAACTCAGGCAATGAAATTACAACCCACTGCACTACAAATTCCAGTTATCCCACTTCCTCTCACTTTAATGTGATTTTCATTAGATCGCCTGGCATGAGACAGAGGTTGGGTTACGTGACATTATAAATGTCTGTTTATAAAACTGTCGCTGCAGGTGATATTGCTTGGCAGCTGTGTATTTGTACACTACTTTCATATGTTTCCCCACCACACAGTCATCAGACAGCACATTTTTTTCAGAGACAGCAAACGTCATTATTTCTGCAGCGTTTTCTGTGTTCGTGTGTTGTGTCAACAGAGGAAACACTTAATGACTTTGTTAGTGGCTGTTGTACAGAACTTCAGACTGCAGTACCACAGTCGGAGTGCTAGTGAAGCTATACTCGCAGTAAACAGTTCTTCTCTATTGCACCTTTGGAATTTTACTGTTAAACTTCCGACTGCCTGCCTTACTTATTCCTTCCTCTTCTCACACGTCAGTGTTCTCACTGTAACACATATCTAACTCTCCCTTTATTTGTCTTTGCCTTAACCATACTCTGCCCATTGTTTGCTACACTGCTCTGAACATTGTTGGATTTTATAAGGCCCACCTTTATGCCAACACCCACCTGTAGGCTCTGATTCTCCGCCCAATTCAGGTGCTGAGTTTTGTGAACTCTTGCAAGAAGTAACAATGCTCTTTGTCCACATAATAAAGGGCGTCATGTTAAATCTAGGTTCACCGTGTACATAGGCTACTTATTATGACTGTTGCCAGCTATATTTTGCAATTTAGAAATATTTTGGGGAGGTGCAAATAAAGTGCCTGTGAGCCGCATGTGGCCTGTGAGCCATGCAGTGAGTAACCGGGGCCCTACAAGCTGTGCCAACGTCTTGTGTGCCAAATGTGTGGCAAGGGGGTGGCATGAACAGTGTGCCAGCGCTAGTCTGCCTGGCTGCCAGGCACTTCTCTTTATCCAATCAGACAGTTCGGCTTGAGTGAGACCCCTATTCTTGTCTCTTCCCATCTCCTCCTGAAGCTTTGTCACCCTCCTATGAAAAACACAGACGCATGCTTGTGAGCACATATTTCCCCCAGCACAGCATCGAGCCTCCCCGGTACACCGTTACACTTACCTAGAGACCATAACCATGGAGTGAATGGTGCAGAGTGTTCCCTCTTTGTTTTCTGTCTTCCACTCCTCTCTAACCCTCTTGTTTTTTTGTTTTTTTTTTCATTTATCTCCCAAGACAAAATCACAGGCTAAATGAGCATGCCTCACTCTGTTTTTTAAGCATTTCTTCAGAGTTATAGAAAGCAGACTGTATCTAGAGATCTGTTTCTCAGGGATGTGTGAAGAAGAAAATGCTGTCTGTGTGTGGCTTTATTGGACATGATGAGGGATGATATTATGGTGGATGCTGCTGCCGCAGCGGCTGTGAGGTGGGGAAGGATCCCATTTGTCTCATGCTCGCTTAGTGTAATGTGTCTATCTGTCACCCTCCCCAAGACCGGACATTGGTGTTCATCAAAATAAACATATTGTCCACACAGTTTTTTCCGCCGCTTGTCATTCTTGTTAATTCTCTCTCCCATTGCCACTTCTTACTCACATCTTTGCCACATCTTATCCAAATTCCTATATCATAAAAAATTACGAGCTACAGAGAGAAGGGGAACTGGTAACCTGACAATAATTTTTTGACCGCAGAAAGATTATGTCGGAGAGAGGTGCTTAGAAAGAAATAAGTGTATAGCAGTGAGAATATATATTCCAAGAGTAATTACAGTGAGTAGAATGAGATGTGATTCAATGGGGGAAAGGTGACGCGAGGAACTTGCTGGAAAGATTAAGCTAATGTCAGTTTTTTTCTTGTGTCTTTCAGGTTGATGATGCCATGCTTATGTTTGATAAGACTACTAACAGACATAGAGGTAAGTGCACACTGCATCTGCTCACTTTCCTCTCATTTTTGCTCTGTCTTTCTGAAAGGTGAGAAAATAGTCATTTTATGTCCTTTCCCCATGAGATAACACAGAACAGTTCCAATCTTACATGATATTAGGTGCGCCGTCTGTTCAACAATGGGAGCGTGTCAAAGTAATCAATAAGCTGGTATGGTGTTTAGAATGTTTCAGCATTGTGTGTGTGTGTGTGTGTGTGTGTGTGTGTGTGTGTGTGTGTGTGTGTGTGTGTGTGTGTGTGTGTGTGTGTGTGTGTGTGTGTGTGTGTGTGTGTGTGTGTGATGATGCTGGTGTGAGTGTTTCAGAGAGGTGCTTAAAGGGTGTAAAGATTGTGAGATGGTGGGTGCTGTGCAGTCAGATAACAGCATCAGATAAGGCCCAGGAGAAGCACTGACTTTATCTCTCATCGCCTCCTTATCTTAGATGAGGGGACGTTTCTCTCTCAAGCAGAGGACTTTCCAAAGACAGGTTTCCTCCCCTGCGCCACAATGCAGTGTTGTTTATTTAAGCCAAGCCGCACGCTTACAGGCCCGACCTAACCGTCACAAAGCAAATATATAGGGCTGTCAGTTATCCAGAGCCCTGCGCGACGGCTGTTATTGGCTATGGATCCTCACGTAGGTACGTTTAAAAGAAGTTTTAGGAGACAGACTGTCCCTGGCTGTGCATGTGTGTACGTACCATTGTATGCGCGAGTTGTCGACAGGCACTGGCAGGTAGTTCCGCAAGAAAAAGGAGCAGGCACTTCTCTGTTTGTCACACCAGTCAGTTCACTCGTAGGCAGAGCTGGCATCGCACCATCTCACTGAACCGGGCTGAGCGCTGGTTTGCCATATAGAGCGACTCAGCCTCTCAACCTGTATAAATGTTTAAGTGCAGTCGGCTTGGATTGAAGACTGTATTGTTTTTGTGTGTGCGCAAACTCTCTTTTTCTACTGTATCTGTGTGTGTAAGTGTGTGTACTCGGTGGAGACGAACTCTTTGAGTCTGGTAAACAGTTTCTAAGTGTGGAACATGTGAACTATAGTGGAAGTGATCTATGGCTTTGAGGGGATTTTGATCTGTAGTGACAGAACCCAGTGTGAGGTCTGCTTTGAGACGAAGGCTTTTTTCTCTCTCTCTTATTTTCTCGCTCTTCTCTCTCTCTCTCTCTCTCTCTCTCTCTCTCTCTCTCTCTCTCTCTCTCCTGTCTGCTGCACTGCCAGCCCTCTGTGAAAGGGGATGGGCACCACGCTCGGGGAGTGTGTTAGGCACTTGCCTTTGGGCAGCAAAATGCCCTTCAAATGAAGACAATGATGGAGAAACAGCCTCCTTGGCAATTTTTCTGATGACAGCAGACGTATTTATATCGAGTGTGACACTGATGCAGGAGGCAGGTGCAGTGCTTTCTGCGGTTGCTGCTTCTTCTAACTAGCATTTTAAATGTTTGTTCCAGTCGGAATTTAAACAGTAGATATTTTCTGCTTTCATCTTTAAAAAAAAAAAAACAACAGATCTTCTAGACGAATTGCATAGAATATTACAGAGCCATAAGAAAATTTGAATAATTCATCTGAGCCATTGGTGTGATTGTGTAATATTAATGGCTCAGCTGCCCCGTGACCACAAAGGAAAGGACATTGAATATATTATCAGTGAAACCAGTTCCCGGCCCCATTTTACCACTGCCTACAGATCTAGTGATGGGCATCTGGCAGCCTGCAGTCCAAATCAATTTCCCACCTGTGTTCATTTTTATCTTACAGATTGATTCATGAAAAAATAATTCAGTATTTTTTTCTGCAGCAGTGCAACAGATAAAAATAACACATTCTTTATTTAACAGTCCAAATGTTACACAGTGCAATTCTTCGGAAACCATAGTGCCTATTCCATAATTGCAAGTCCCGAAAATAACAGTTCACTAGTGCTTAAATGCCTTGCAAAGCACTGCCGGAAAGAGCAATATTTCCAACAACTATTGCCGTTCCTATTTTCTTGTTAGTCTTGAATATGTTGCAACATAGACACACTTTACCTCAATGTGATGTCCAAGCTTATATATTTTGCAACAAACATTTTGAATCTGCGCCATCCCAACCCTAAACCACAACAGTAGTCCACGTCTTTTGTAAAAAAAAAAAAAGGTAGGGTTAGGGATTTACTTGAGCTGTGCTGTGAGGTCAAAATAATACTTTTGAAAACAACAAATTAAATACACTGTAGAGAAGAGACAACATACTTACAGGATATTACGGAGGTGTGAAGGTAAAATTATTCCTTTAAAAAAGAAAGCACTGGGTATTTGAGGTAAAATTCGCAGCAGTTAAAGGTGATCTCTTGTTAGGCCTGCTGTGGCACGCTATGACTTCATATCATCTCATTTGAATGTTATCTCACCTCGCCTTTTTATTTTTCCCATTAAGCCTTTTTTCACACAGAGGCTGTATTGTATATTACTATAATGCATTGTATTTTGTGTGGACGGGTTTATTGTGTATGAGATGCATGATCGGCACTTGATTGTAAGTGTGTTTTCTTTGGGGCTGTGTTGAATTGGATAGAGGACAAACGTCACACTCCACTAGTAGCAGCATTGTCCTTCAGACGGTCCCTGCGAGGCTGGCGAAACGACAGCCAGAGGAGACATTCTCTACCCGTCTCGTTTTCTCTGTACTTTTTTTTTTTTTTTACTCTCTATCTCTTCCAGTCATTCAGTCTTCTTCTTTCTTCCTTTTCTTGTCTCACTATTTCTGTCCCCACGCCATCTCCCCACCCTGCCTGTCCTCGCCATCTCTCCATTTCTCTCGTCTTTCTCTCTCTGTCTCTCCTGCTAGAGGACACTCGCTGTAAGCAAAGCTCCTCACAAAGGCACACACTGCACACCATCTCCTTGGCATTTAAAGGAGTAGAATACGGCCAATTGTGTTGGAAATTGAACTCTCTAAAGCCTCCCTTCCCGCTGCAGCAGTTCATTGTGGGTGAGTTCAGTGTCTTTGGTGAGCAGCTTGGGCTGTCCAGAGGTTGATGCCAGAGGGCGCCTATTGTTCCATGTTCCACTGCAGTGTCCCCACCACCCTGCCTCAATTCAACCTTCCTTTCTTCTCCTGACACTCAGTTTGTGACAAAAAAAAAGAGAAAATCAGGAATGTGTATATTTGTAATCACATATTTGACTTATTAATATTTGATGTATTTAATTTCTGGATGGGTTATTCAGCAGTGCAGAAGGTCCAAAACACAGGCTATGTTCTAAGACAGGGCCAAGAACACATTAGTCGCGGACTACACATATCAGTCGTCCTTCCCACCTCTCCTCAACATGACTACACATGCCACCCCAGGATGACAAGACGAGCTGTACGGGTGGGAAATAAAAGCTTTTGGAATAGCCCTAAGTCAAAATCATTCTGTCATCCGTTGCCTACTCCCGTCCCGCAGGCTGACATTTTATCTATGATCTAAGATGTGATTTTACTGTCAAACACAATTGGTAGTGCCAAGGAGAGTGTTGCTAAGGTGAGAAAAATGGCATCTCTTCGAGTAGGGGATAGAGACTGTGATGAAAGAGTGGCAGAGTGGCAACTATCGGTGTCCTCCAAAACATTGGGTTTAATGTGCAAGTAAAAAGGTACAGTAGCTGATAGATGAATTCTTTGTCTTGCTACTCACATGCATCCTTTATTAAGTGCTACTCCGACATACCATAATTATCCCTCCTTCTCCACCACGTTGCCACTCTCTTCATCAGCACATCTCTCTGTAGCGTAATTCCATGCACATAATCCACGCAGGACCTTTTCAAAGAGGAAATGCGTATGGTATAGATGTACACTCCCTCTGATTTGATTGTTCACAAGCAGCTTCCCAGCACCACGCCTAATCCACATGAATCCAGAAAAGATAAGTATATACAATGCAAATTAGTACATTGCAATGCTAAATTACACTCTTACCATTATAAGTAGCTGATTAATTGGGTCAAAACTGCATGCCACAGTGATTGTTTGATTCATGCTCTGCAAAAAAATCTGTACTGCTAAATATCAGTGTCAGCCCTGCAGTTTTCATCAAGTTTTTAGTTTTCAACAAGTTTTTAGTTAATTACTTTGAGGCAAAATATTGAAGGTAGCACCTATATCTTTTCTGGGTGATACGCACATTCTCTCTCACCTTTTTAATTACACCATTAAGGGAGATGATGAAATCCTAGTGTAAGTTCTTTCGTGTTGCTTTACAATAGTTTGGAACCAGACAGCACCCATTAGTGTAGCTTTATAATGACTGTGTGACTGATTGTAAGCCAAATTCCTTCTTTATTTGAATGATGCAAGTAATAGTAATGTGCAGCAGTGCTGGGGACCAGGATAAACAAATGGAGGCTGGATTGTTTTAGTCACAAGGCTGCTTTGTATAAGCGAGCCACTGAGCGAGGCACATATTAGATGCCATGTTCCTGGAGAAGAAGGGGATTCTTGGTTTTGAGCAAGGACAGGGTCCAGGCTGTGTGAATTTGTGTTTAGCCCCTTTTTTCTTCGGGCTTAAAGGGCTGGTTTTCTTTTTGGCAGACAAACAGAAGACTGCATTGTGTGTGTCTGTAATCTCTTTACCTGGATTGGCAGCAAAGCTAGCAAGTGCAGCTCCCAGTGTGGAATTGGCACTGAGGAGTCAATGTCACACCGAGCGAGCTGCCTTCCAAACAACCAAAAAAACGGTTGTGTGTCTGCAAGGCTGTGTGTATGTGGATGACAACATGCAGTTGTTGTTTCTTTTCAAATTGTGTGTCTTTGTTCGTTTTATAGGTGGATTTTACAGCCTCCGCGCAAGCAATACGGACAGTGTGCCCAAGCCTATGAATATGCAACAAAATCCAATTTTCGAACAGTATCATATTATTATTTACTGGCTGTAGTGTGTGTTTGTCACAATTTCAAAACTATGCTTTATAGAGCAAAAGTCTTTGCTCCAGGATACACAAGCTCCTACAGTAA